AAATAAACTCACGACACACGGTAAACTTCGCGCAAGACCTACGGTCGCGGAATAAAATAGTTGGAGGGATCTTCTCGCGCTTCTCTCTCTTTCTCGTGTGTCAGTTTTGTGTGTCGGTGTTTTTTTTTTTTTTTTTTTTTTATTTACTTTTTTTTAACCTCGAAGAAGAGAAAGGCACGCGGTGTCGTATATATGTCGAAAGTTTCTGTACAGCATTGAACGGGAAATTGGAAAATTCAAAATTGAACGAACGCGCGTTAAAAAATTGATATTGAACGCCGGATAGAAATTAGAACAGCGGGATATAAGAGAGAAAATAAAATCTCGCGATACGGATCGAACGAACGATCGAGAGCACGAGTCTCTCATCGAAAGAGACCGAAAATTGCAAGCCAACCAGAAACAGCAGGACTGCTCGACGCCATGGGTGGCTAGCTAGCATTTTGCTAGGTCACGCCGAGAAGGGTCGAGAAAATAGGTACAAGTGAGATAGAGAGGGAAACGAGAGAAAGAGAATCGCTGACAAAAAGGACGAGGAGGAGAGTCGACCGACCGGGGGCTCTCGTTAATAACCGGACTCGACTTGATTATGGTCGCCACCGGCCGCTTTAGCCTCGGCGGTCGCATCGAACGAGGTAGCCGCTAATGGGCCGGATATGGATGAAAAATTATCTCGGCTTAATGCGCGCGCGAGCACACGGCCGTTTTTCGTTATTACGCGAGCTTTAAGGCTCCACCGGAAACCGACGCGATATCCGCTCCCTTTGCTCTCTCTCTCTCTTTTCCTCCCTCTATTTGTCCGTCTCTCCGACTATCCGAATTCGTTCCATAATTAAGCGCTTGATTATCGGACTAATCGCGCCGGGCGTTTCCAGCGGAACGGTCGGCACAGTTGAGTTCCGACGCCTAGACCGGAATAATTTAATTTATAGCGAGCACTCTTCCCCACCCCGTCTAAATGTTTATAACGCCGTTGGTTTCGTGCGGCCGATAACGTAAACGGAATGATTGATTAACCGCGCCGAATCGGTTGATCGTGCTCGGATGCTCCTTACGCGAAGAAAGCGTACCGGTCACGCGATACTTGGACATTATCGTTGTTCGTAAACTTGTATTGCATTATCTTGGACAGACGTCGTTTTAATTTAATTTCTATGTAAATTCTCGCTAACAGATTCTTTTATATATAGTATACAAATCGAAATTATATTCTGTACGAGAAATGTGAAAAGACTTAATAAAGGTGTGCACAAGTTGACATCGCAATTTCTACAAATTTACACGATTTATGTCAATTAGCTCCAAAACGGTTTAGATCATTTATACAATTTTTTTATTATACTAGGACACTAGGATATTAATTATAAGCATCTCGTATTTTTTTTTTATATATTGATTCATCGAGCAATCGATGTGTGTATATGAGAAAAAATGAATACTAATCTGTGTATAATAGATTAATAAAAAATAGATAGGAGAGAATTCCATAAAATTAAATTAAGAAGAATAAAATGATTTCTCTTCTGAAATAATTGGCGCTCGATTGTACCTGACAAAATTGAGGCATATATAAAACCACGTTTTGATGATAGTAGAGAAAAATCACAAACACGCATCGGGTTAATTGGTTAAAAAAATAAACCCTCTCGCGAGTTGATGAAACTAAATACGCGACTATCAAACTCAAAGAATGTTTCGGACTAGCACTCACGATTCTCGCACGATGAATCACGCGCAACGAGCAAAATTACATCCGATTTATAACGGCGGCTAATCTTTTATAGCTATAGTATACACCAGAAACTTACGCTCTCGTAAGAGAATCATAAAACTTTTGCAACAGCAAATAATTCAGTGATAGGTAACTTTTGCAAGTGCTCTATATATGTATCGCGGGTGTGGCTTTTACGATGTAATTTTACAACAAAAAAGTTTGCCGTACTCTGTTTGAGAAATATAAACGTGATTATTTGCGCGCCGCTTCCGATAACCGTAAACGAATCGCTCGAGCGCGAATGCGCGGAAGTGATCGGCGGAAGCATAGCCGGGTTTTCCAAACACCGGTCGTGTAAATAACGTCGGCTTGTTTTCCATTCATTCAACGACTCTCGAGTGCACCGTGTATCGTCTTCTAACAACAGTAGATTTGTTGGCAATTATGCGCGCTACCGAAGCATAAAGTAAATATAAAATAAAAATAAAATAGAGACATTTTTATATGCACGTATATAATATAATCTCGGAAGAGTATAAAATAACATTAATTAATTAAATCATTTAAATTTACATTCGCGTTTCCGGTCTCTGGATATGAAAAATATAGAAAGAGGAAAATGATATTTTTTTTATCTCGATCAATATGACAATGTATACTCAGTATGCAAGATTACCCCTATTAATGCAATCCAATTCCATCTTACGATATCTCGACGCGAGCCTCCACTCGGCGCGGCACGATCGAGTTCTGGCCACGATGTTCGAGAGATTACGGAATACTCAATTAGGGGATTCAGTGTCATAGAATTCGAGAGCCCCGGATTAAGGGCCCTTATCGTGCGAGTAACTTTGGATTATATAGAGCCGCGCGCCGATTCTGCATATTTCGACCTTTCGCTATCTACCAGATACGGCTCGCGAACGGGGCTTCGAAAGATGTCGCGAATCGCGACATCGACGAGGAAATTGCCTTCTCTCGATGCCCTCTGCAAACGGCAAGCCCGTAAAACCCGCGCGCGTTTCCGTAATTTCATTTCCGTGCCATTATTTTGTACGATAATAAGTTAACTCTTTATTTATAGTATGACGTTTATATATTTCAATTTACAAACATGAATATTGTAAATAACAGGGAAAAGGCAATATTTTTGTTCTCTGAAACATTAAAATTCTTATTTTTTCTGCATTTTAAAATAAAAATTTCTTATAAAAATAAAATTTAAATTTTTAACATTATTACGTTTTATATATAAATAACAGTTATTTTTTAAACAATTTGGGCAAACATTGCGAGAGAGTCTCTTCCTACGTAAATATTAAAATTTGTTATTTCGCAGTGCTTTTGTGCAAAATGACGCTTTGCAAAATTTATTTTCACATTTGACGTGCGGCAATAAAATTTTCGAATTACTTGGGCGAGTGATAAACGAAAGAGAGCAGCTTTCGCAGTGATGTATTGAACAAAATTGCGTTCAAAGAACGTATAAAGGTCGATGAAAAATTAAAGCATTGGACGGCATTCGTGAAAATTTCGCCGGGAGAGAAAGAGAGAGAGAGAGAGAGAGAAAGAGCGTCGTACAAATCCTGACGCAGTCTTATTGATCCGGAGAGGCGAAATAACGAACAAACGATATGGTGGTGCACAGTTTGTTGCGATTACTCCGTGCTCGTAGCTATTTGTTTTCCATAGCGGCGGTAGAGTATCGAGCCGGTGGCAGCGTAGAAACAATTTTGCGCGGCGCGAGCGCGACGGCTGAAATATCGCGAGGAATGTCATCTATCGTATATCACCCTAGGTATGAGTAATATTCACGGCAAGCACGAGTCCTTACGAGCGACATTCATCGCTCTTCGGAAACGCGTCGACCGACGAGAATTTTTTTCCTCCCCCTAGACGATGGATGACAGTCTGTCGGCGTAATTAAGATGATCCTAAACGTCTTTGAAAAGTCTGTTGTTTTTTTCCTTCTTTTTTATCGACAAACTATGAGTAGATAAATTATAAATCTATTTATTGGCTATGCGGAATGTTTTTTTACCTGAAATTAGAACACTTCTTCCTCTGTTAATATTGTTATTTTAATTTGTACAGGATAAAGATTTATCAATCTATATAGTCTCATATATTATCTTGATTACAGAATTATGAATGCTTAGAATTCACAATTCTGTTACCAAGATATATGAAACTATACAGATTGATCAATCTTTTATCAATCAAGCAAAGGAAGGAATTCAGGTTAGCTTAAGATATCTCTCTAAGGATATTCGATCGATTAAGGACATCATCCATCTTTAAGGAATATTTATATTTCTCGAATCCTCTCTGGACACATTTTGCATTTGAGAAGAAGTTTCGAAGTTTAGTATGTACATTACCTCGAAATAATTCAAGCGTTTTAGGTTGTCGTAAACATTCGGTTCAAGTTAAATGACGTTTAATTGATTCTCTGTCTCGCGGTAGGTATTGTGTCTCTAGGAAGAGACAGAGAGTTGGTTAAACTTAGTTAATTAACGTCTATACGGGAATTGCTTTTACTTAGACTTTCCTATGTAACGGTTTCCGATCTTTCAAGAAGTAAATAAAGCGTGTCGGGCAGCGAATCGCGCCATGTTCGAACTAATTGATACAAACTTGTACTTAAAAATTGCATTTATTCTACACGAGTCGATAAGCCTATCGACAACTTTGAATATCACAACCAGGCTTCCATTACATATATATATATACACACATACATACACATGTCTACACAAATCAAAGCTTTCCCGCCCGCTATCGCCAAGTGACGGCGAATTATCGTTCACGGGTATCGCCCTCGAAACTTTCGCGGCACCGTGTTCTAATCTGGCAGAATCTCGTCACGCGATCTCGCCAAGTGTGTCACCGGTCGCTTTCCGACCTAGTCTTAAAGCAACTCCTGTCAGGGAAAGCCCCCGGATCGAGACTTCCCGGAAGCTCTCGAGCTTCGAACTTGCTGCAATCAAGACTATCGGGAACGACATAAATTCCACGAGGGTGATTTTTCATAAATATAGATACGCAAAAATAGCCTAATAGCACACCATTCCAAAAGAGATTCAGACGACATATCCAGAGAACATTTGAACATCCTCGGGATGTTTTCCGAACGTCTTCGGGATACGTGTGCTGTTAGGGGAGAAGCTAAAATCGCAGTTACTTTATGTCAACTCGAGACCCTCTATTTTCTACAATACTTTTCCTCGAAATCACGAACATATAATTCCCGAGGAGCAACGGCTAAATTAGACGATTCACTCACCGGTCATCGTAGACGAAACCCGCTTGCAGGGTGTTGCAGTAGAGTGCCGTCGCGACGAGGGCGCAGGCTACGGCGAGGATATCCATGTCACATCGTGACGAGGACGCTGGCGGCGACAGCGACGTCGACGGCGGCGGCCTCTTAACTTGTTGCACGTCCGCGGGCCTTCTTCCTGCACCACCGCCGCCACCACCAGCAGCACCAGCACCACTACTACCACTTCCGCCTCTTCCTCCGCCGCCGCCTCTACGTCTCCGTCTGACACCGGCGGTTCTTCGCGCGGCGGCCGAGACGTCCGCCGGACGATCGAAGAACGATCGCCGATGCGATGACGTCGCCTGCCCGGATGACGGGTCCCGCGCGGGATGAATGTCGGTGACGCGTCCCCGGGTACGATCCAGCGACGAAGCTGTCCCCGGCGCCGAATCCGGGTCCCCGATCCGTCCCGACGCGACAGCGGAAATCGACGCCTCGCCTCACATCGATCTTAAATCGGTACCTCGCCGGAGATGTCGCGGGGTCCGGAATCAGAGACAGCTTGACGGCTTCTCGGGAACGAGAAGGCAAATTATACGCCGCGTATTCTGACTTCGCTCCTCATACAACCGATCCTTCATTCACCATTCACTGACGCACGTTTACTCGCGATCGGGGATGAACTTCCGCTCCGCGACCAGGAAGACTTCGAGATGGGGTGGCGAAGCGACCCTCTTCGTCGCCTCTTCCTTATCAGTCAGGGGCCAAGGAAATCTTGGCGTCCTACGGCGATCCAGCGATTCGTTCCGCGAATCGATAGCAAGATCCCGTCGCTCTCTGACGATCCGCGAGATCGGCGTCCTCGATCGGAGCGCGATCGGCCTCGGAGTACGAGGGTTGTCTTCGCGATCGCTGTTGACGCGAGTCGCACTAACGACGACGACGACGACGACGACGACGACGAGATGTTCCCAGCGCGATCGGCACGCGGCGCGACGCATGTTCCGGATGCGGAACGCCAACTGTCGCGCGCCCCCCGAGGACGAGAGCTTTATACGCGGGAGACGGGCATCGATCGGACAGGCGCTTGCGCTCGCCCGTTCTCCTGGTCCTCCTTCTCCACCTCCGCCTCATCCTCCTAGCATTCTCACCCTCCTTTCTCTCTTTCTCTCTCTTCCTCGTCCTTCCCTCTCGCTATACGCATCTACGACCGCTCGCAACGACCACGACCGCGACCGCGACCAACGGGTCGGATTAACCACAACCCCGGGGACAATGCTGACCGATGGACGTCCTTTTAGAGAAAATGATGCGGCACCATAAGGGCCGCATCGGCGAGGTGGAGGTGCAGGATGCACGTGGTATGTAGGTAGAGAGAACCGGACCGGCGAAAATTCGGACTTTGGACGTTTTGCTCAGGTCAGACGGACCGTAAGGGAATTGTGTGTACGCTCGCTCTCCGTTTTCTCTCCTCGTGAGATCGTCGACGGGGAGTAAACGGAGTTGGTGCGGTCGAGGAAACGTTTAGCTTGGGAATGTAACCGGCTGCATCCGACGGCGATTGTCGTCACCTAACCCACGTGGCGATTAAGCCACCGTCTCTTCCCCACATGATGCCATGCCGCGCGCGCGGCGAACAATTGCCGGGACAGTTGCGATGTCATTCGTGGGATTCGTGTGAAATGTTGATTCTGCGAAAACTATTCTGGGAGGAATTGGTAATGCCGAATGGAATCGCGCGAGGACCGAATGGGTCCGAGCTGCGAATGCCCTTATTTTCCGTTCTTATCATCTTACGTAAGAGAGAGAGAGAGAGAGAGAGAGAGTCGTTGATTGTAAAAATAGGACGTTGGAAGTGAAATACGGAAAGCGGATCAGGTTAATGCGCATTCTGCTACTTTAAGAAAATTTTCTCGAAATTTCAGTTGTACGCCACTTTTAAACAAGAGAAGACCCATATACCTAGATTCCGCGCGGTATCGTACACCAGATAAGCTTCGTAATACCATTGTGCATAAACTTCTACCTCTACCTCTCTCTCTTTCTCGTAGACCTCCACTAATGCAAAATTTATTCTCGTTGGAACGTTTATAAACATACGACGACGCAAATACAACTCGTATGGTATTTCACGCAGGTTCCAACAACCAGGTTGTTGTGTTGAGGGTATCGTCACTCTCGGTAGTTTAATCCGTCGACACGCTGGCGCATAACGACGATTCGTCACTAAGTACCTACACGTAATTAATCGTCGGGACCGACGCCGTGAAACGCGCGTGCATTTATCACGCGTATTACACGGGTTCTCTCTCTCTCGCTCTCTCTTATTATTGTGCTAACGCTGGACTTAGACGTTCCTCGGAGCGCTATTGTATCGCGAACAAGAGGCCGCCACCCGTAAACGCTTCAATTATTCCAAGCGCGTAACAAAAGTAATTCGCGCTCCGATGAGCCGCGATTAAAGATCCCGCCGCGGTTACTCCTAATGCGGTAATTAAGCATTTAAACGCTTAACTCACTCCTACACAAACTATACAATACCGGTTAGCGCTGTGTACAAACGAGGAGGAATGGCCGACAACCGGGCTGCGAGTCGAGAGCGAGAATATGATAACATACGAACGTGCGATATCAGTATCTCTCTAATTAACCTTATGGTATATACGCGTATCTCTCTCCATGTTTCTCGTCACAATCATAATTATGGCTGATTTTGCGCATTTTCTCTTCATGAAATTGCAATATTATATGTATATCGCTGAAACTACATCACGTATACTTTTTATCCTCGGATCTATAATATTCTCTTTAGAATTAGAAGAAAGTGAGAGCAGGGAAAATTGTAATTTCTCCTTAGAAGGAAAGTAAAAATAAAAGATTACAATTTTTCTTTCGTCGGACTCAATCAAGCTCAGTGTCCGCCTCGACGGGGTAATCCGTCTACGAGTAACAACGCCATAGAAATACAAATTAACCGCGCCTGGTAACACCCCACGATTACCCGCCCCAATGCTTAACTCCCCTAAAGTCTGGCCATATGGGTCCGACGGGATGACGAGGGATGTAGCGGGGTGTAGCCTCGTGGTTCACGAAATGAGGTTGACAGTAAACAATACCGCTTACCAAAAAGGGGAACGAAGATTGCGTGGGGTCCCCACCGCGAGAGTGGGATAGGAATAGGGGAAACCAAACCCTTTTGCAGTTGTAGGACACATCGGTGATCTCTATGTCCCTTCCTCGACGTAGCACACGCGATGTCCGGTTATTTCGTTGTCACAGCCGTGCTATATTGAGACAAAATATCAATGCTTTGTATCAATATCGGTATCAAAAGCTCGACGCTGTACTCCATATATTTCTCCAAGTGTCAGAGATTTATTCTTGCCTCCAAAATCAATATTCTTGAATCCGCGTTTAACTTTATTTGTTTGCTCGCTCCAATTATAATCTTTTTATTTTATTTAACATATTAATATATATATTACACTCTTGATTCCTTGATATTTTCACACTTCAGCGTAATCTCGTTGTTACGACTAAAAATAATATTCCAGCGTATTAATAGGATAATTTCTATGCTAAAATATCTCGGAACATCAAAGCATCGAGTGGCAGATATCATAACGCTCTCGGCTAGCCAAGCGGGAGGAAGCCTGGTACCCTGTTATTTGTCCCGCTGGCAGATTAAGATAATGGGTTAACGCGAAGCCGTCAGGCTGTATTGTGCCGGTCATCGGACCGGGAAAGGCGGACTAGAAAGGGCGAGGGACCGGAGGGCATCAAATACGATGACCGGCGACCACGCGAGCTTCGCCGGACGGGAGCCACGGGAGGCTTACGCGCTCCGATGTGAGAATTATCGTGCGAACCCATCGTCGAGCATGCGCCGGCAATCAGTTTGTTCCGTGACGCGATGACGCCTGCGTGAGCTTATGATTATGTTTGTACGCGCTATATTTGCGCGTGTAGGAGGCGAGAACCAGCGGACGTCGCGCTGCAGGAAACCTCCCATAATGAATAAATTTTCATAAAAATGTTTAATTAAATTTATCATTTTTTTCTCAATATTTTATTGCATATTAATTTATTAGAAAATATAAGAAATATATTTTTTAATCAATTTTATTATTTTTAATGTATATATATTTATATATCACGTGCGCGCGAGTATTGTTTTGAACTACATTTACTTTAGGAAATTGATAATGTCAAAATTTGACATGATTTTCTAACAATTTTTGATGGATATTTCTGAAATCTATCACCGAAAAAAAAAATATATATGCTCGTGTATGTGTATCCTATGTAGTTGCTCGTGATCATCTCTGTGACGTGTGCTCGCTATTATCCTTTCAAACTCGTTGTATATAACATGCAAGAGAGGTTGCGTTTCCGCTTTGTCGATTTATCGCGTCATAACAACGCAGGTTCAGCGCGCAATACTCTGTGATTCGATTCCCATCCTAATGAAATTTCTTTGGTTATTAATATCGCTTGGTAACGATTACATGCTGATTATACGTCAAACGCAATAATGTCTGGATATCTTCGCTAATTTGCCCGCGAATCACAGAAGAGAAACTTTAATCTTTCATCCATTGACGCCCTGCTTTCATATACTATCGTGTTATTAACTATATGTGTCATTAACTTGCATTACTTTGACGTTATTGGCATACGTAATATTAGCTCAAATTATTAATTTGATGAGGTTAATTTAATATTCAACAGTGTGTTCAATATATAGGCAATTCGCCAACGTATACCGGCGAATATTATTCAACGACAGACGACAGTAATCGCTCGGAGCAAAAGGTCAAAACTAAGAACAGAACCCAGTGTTTATGATAGAATTCATAAATATATAATATGACAAGACTTTTACAGTTTGTCAAATTTAATTGTAAAATTTGATTTTAAAACGAATGACAGCTATAACGAGAAATATAATATGAATATACCAGAGAAATGTCTAACTATAAATATAATGTTATACTTATGTATGTAAATTTCGAGCAGAGAGAAATCTCTTGCAAAAAGTATTTTTAATGTTAAATGAAAAATTATACAAGTTTGACACGTGTATTTAAAGCTAAATTAAATGGAATGCGATGAACGTGCGACATCTGTCACTCGAATTTTTGCTCGCCGAAATTCGCACCCGGGCTACGTGAGCTCGCAGTCAGAAAGTCGTTAATTCGTGGACACGGCGTATTGTGTTTGCTCCACGCATGGCGCAAAACCGGGCTATTGTCTCCGAAAATACGTGACGGAATAAAGTTGCGGTGAATATAAATTTGAAAAGGCGACGGCGCGGTTTCTCGGCATCGCGCGAGATGCGTTACAAGTTACAATCAGATTACATTGTAACGAAAACGTAACAGAGCGATATTTGCGCGTTCTAGATTTTTTCATCCGCATACAACAAAACCATTGTGAATTGGAATTTTTTTTTATTACAGACATATCGAGTAAAAATTTCTCTCGCTATAAGGAAAGACCAATTAATTAAAAAAAATTTACTCCGACAACGAAAGCGCGGAAACCTGACATACCTGGCAATTTTATGAGGTTTGATAAATGAAGATGAATATCGCGCTGCAATTGATAAGCTAACACTGTGACACGCGAGTCTGCTGGTGCGAAGTTTTCATTTTTAACACAAACGTCGAAGCAACCCGAAACGCCAATCAAATCCGTGCGTTTGACGTTCTGTGTTGAAGCTATTATATCCCTGTAACAACACCCCGGGCTATCCCCTTCGAGCCGAATACATTTTAATCATCGAATTGGCCCGGCAAACGAAAAAGATTGGCTCGTAACTGGCGCGGAGGGCTCGCTGATTGTCGGGCTACATCCGACGTATTTTTACCGTGAAAGCGGCCGTGGCGAGAACGCTTCGTGGCTTGTTCATCCATTGAAACTACCCGCGTTATCCGAGACCAGAGAGATTCACCTGATATCGCCTGGCGTCGAAAAAAAAAAAGCACTTCCCGTTGTCGCACGTAACCG